AATTGATCAAGAGGATGACGATTATACATGTTTATGCACCCAACATCAAAGCACCTAAATATATAAAGCAAATATTAACAGAACTGAAAAGAAAAAAAACCACAGCAATGCAATAATATTAGGGGACTTTAATATCCCACTCACAGCAATGGATAGATCATCCAGACAGAAAATCAATAAAGAAAAATCAGATTTGAACAACACTGTAGACCAAATGGACCCAACACATATATACATAGCACATTCCATCCAACAGCAGCACACTCTTTTCGAGTTCACATGGAACATTCTCTAGGATAGATCATATGTTAGGCCACAAAACAAGTCAACAAATTCAAGAAGATTGAAATCATATAATGTATCTTTTCCAACCACAACGGTATAAAACTAAAAAACAATAACAGGAGATAAGCTGGAAAATTTACAAATACCTGGAAATTGGCACACTCCTTAACAACCAATGGGTCAAAGAAGAAATCAAAAGATAAATTTTAAAAAATATTTTGAGACAAAAAAATAGGAGCACAGTGTACCAAAACTTATGGGATGCAGCAAAAGCAGCTCTAAGAGGAAAATTTATAACTATAAACACCTACATTAGGAAAAAATAAAGATCTAAAAAAAAGAAAAAAAGAAAAACCTAGACTTTTATTTCAAGGAACTAGAAAAAGAAGACTCACTTTAAGCCCAAAGTTGGTAGAAGGAAGGAAATAATAAAGTTGGTAGAAGGAAGCCCAAAGTTAGTAGAAGTTAGCCCAAGGCACTCAACATCACTAATAATCAGAGAAATGCAAATCAAAACCACAATAAGATAGCACCTCACACCTGTTAGAATGGCTGTTATCAAAAAGACAAGAGATGACAATTGTTGACAAGGATGTAANTCGCATCAACAGTGTATGAGCGTTCAGTTTTTCCACATCCTCACCAGCACTAGATATGGTCAGTCTTTTTAATTTTAGCCATTCTAGTGGGTGTGATGGTATGTTATCATGGTTTCAATTTGCATTTTCCTAATGACTAATGATGTTGAGCATCTTTTCATGTGCTTATTTGCCGTTGATATACCTTCACTGGTGAAGCATCGATTCAAAGAAGTTTTGAAAGAGCATCATATTTGTTTATCTCAGATATAGTAAAGCATGTAATTTTTAACATGGTCTTTGGAATCTGTCAGACCCGGTTTCACATCTTCGGTTGGCCACTTACTGTGTGACTTAAAATGAATAGCTTACCCTCTCTGAACTTCATTTTTCTCTTATGTAAAATGAGGATAATAATAGAACCCAATACGTTTTAAATGAGGATCAAATACTTAAAACCTTTAAGGTACTTAACTTAAGACATAGCACATAAAACTTAATAAGTGTTATTAATATTTATTATTATAACATCCTCCATTGGTCTGATTTGTATCGTAACACACAAGATTCCCAGCATACCTCAGAAACTAATCTCTATGAAAATTAAATGGTGTTTCGTGTCCAGTACAGTAGATACAAAATTTTTTTTTCTTATCCCTTGGTATGTGAAGAATGGAATTTAGTGCAAGGCTAGTATGTCAAAGCTGAAAGAGTCCTTAGAGATATTTAAACCAACTCCTTGCCTTAGCTCACGTCCTCTGGAAAGCAGAGCCTGAGGCAAGGGTAAAGTACTGAGATTTTCCTTGGGAGGTACAAACTCTGGATGGTCAAAGTTAAGAAAAAAATTGGTAAGTGAGACAAAGGAAGATGTCTGGGTTATTACTCAGGTAACCACTATACAACTATTCGAGGAGGTGCCAAAGAAACACAGTATTCTTTGCATTTCTTAGCACACAAAAACTCCCTGGAAGGTTGCAAAGAGAGACCCCACTTCATAGAAGTTCAAGGAGAGGGACAGCAGGGGACATGTGTCTGTCAGTTTCCCTCTTATGGTCAAGGTGTACGCCACGGAGAACACACTCCCCTGCACTTCCAAGGCGTGTCATCATCACTGTGGGCCATCCAGGAAAACACATCCCATGTTCTCTCTTGTGGCATTTCATCGAAGCCGGGAAGTCCATGCACAGCTTAATGCAGTGGGATGCCAGTCGCGGAGGGAAAGCAGGAGGTATACCAGACTCGTGTTCTGTCTTAGGCCGCACACTCTCAGAAGCAGACCCTGAGTCCATGACAGAAGTGCAAGAGGTTCTGGGGGAATGGAACCAGGAAAGCACTGGTAGGAGAGGGGAGACAGGGACCGGAAGGAGGACAATACAGGGTGTGGTGATGAGGAGGTTACTGTTGTAGGCTTCTGGGGCCATCTAGGAGACAACAGGAAACACACTTCAGGATTTTCCCACATGCGAGGTGAGGGAGCTGGGGAATGACCCCCAATGTCCATCCGTCGTTGGCTGAGGGCTGCTTCTGGGGACATTAACTTCTATCGCCCCTCCCCCAGGAGGAAGGACGAGAGTCCCAGCGGTGGCAGTGGGATGCGTTTGGCACATCTTGGAATGGTGAATGCAGCATCTGCTTCATCAGAGGTCAGCAACCTTTTTTTTAAAGGTCCAGAGAGTGAATATTTTAGATTTGTGGGCCATGTGTTTTCTGTCACAACTAGCCAACTCTGCCATGGTAGCTCAGCCACAGATAATATGCAAACAAATGGGACTGGCTTTGTCCCAATACGACTTTATTTACAAAAATAGGCAGCCAACCTGCAGGCGGTAGTTTGCAGACCCCTGGGCTACAATGTGTGATGCATTCTGTTGTGCAGATAGAGAAACTAGAACCCTGTAGAGCAAAGTACCTGGTCATATAGCCAGCCAGTGGCATAGCTCCTGACTTTTTGCCCAATATTCCCTCCACTGTACCTGCTATTCCTCTTTGTTGAGGTCTTGGTATGTTTTTTAGGGGACATGCAGCTGGAATTCTTATAGGGAGACTCTGTGTAACCCATAATTCCTAAATGGCAGTGGTTTGTTTCCTCTTAGTGGCCAGAGAGGCCTCAGAGACTGAAGACATGCCGCCTGCAAGGATTGCTCAGAGCAACTTCTGGGAGTGTCACTGAGTGAGGCTGTTTGGGGAGCGTACCCTGTGCCAGGCCCTCTTCCATCAGCCTCTGCCTCTGCTGCCTTGGCAGAGCATCTCCAGACAGCGGCCACAAAAAGCAGAGTGAAAACGCAGTTAGAACTTTGGAGCCTGTAAAAATCTAAAAATATCCAGGAATGTGTGCACATATGTGGCCCTTCTGTGATCAAAACATCTGGGGAGAAGATCAAATGTTCCTGCTGTAATTTGCCTAAAGTTCTGCGAGGACTTGGGAAGGGAAAGGAAGTTGAAAGTCACTGACTTTACTGGGGGGGAAGGACGTCACAAGAGTTTTGTTTTCTTAAGACAAAATAAGTTGTGCGCAGGCAGAATCCTCCCCCGGGGAAGTCCTTGGGATTCTGCGCATTGTTTCTCATAACGGGGGCGGAAAGTTCATTGGCTACAGGCTTGAATTCCTGATTTGATGCCTTTAAAAAAAAAAAAGAAGAAAATTAAAATAACAAGTCCTTTAATCAAAACATTAAGAGCTGTGATAATGGTAGCGAATTATTAAATGTCAGATTTGAAGAAGGCCTAGTGTGAGCCATGCATTTGTCAGGTGAGGAAACTAGAACTCAGAGAGAGAGCTTTTCTGGTGTCCCACAGAAGATGACAGAGTAGGGCTGAAACGCGTGTGTCCTGACTCCCAGACCAGGGGGGCATTGGAAAGAAGAGTTAGAGGAAAGGGACAATCCTGTTTCTGCCACTTCTAAGGCGTATGACCTCGACTGTACGCTAAAGATGCTCATGGTTACTGCTGTCTGTAAGAAGCCAGGATTGAGACCTCTGGGTCTTGTGCAGCTGTTTTCTGTAGATCTGTGGGATCCTTGAAAGGTGAACAAAGGCAAGGCAGATGCCTACTCTTTTCATCACTAATCATGGCCCCAAACCGGTCCTGGTGGTTAGGGCTGGATGATGTGTGAACCTGGGATTCCATTTGACCCCTGGCTTGAATCCTTGACCAGAGCAGGCTAACTGGCCTACAGAGTACCCTTTCCTCAGGCTGTGCCCTAACTCTGAAGCAGAGAAAGCTAGCCCTGCCCTAAAATTTAGGCAGCCTGACTAAGCCTCCCACCCACACCTTCTTTCAACTGCCTGCCACACTTTTCTTTCCATTGGCCTTTGGAGTACTAGCAGTATGGCCTTTTAGCCACGCTTTACTTAGCAGATGAGAGGAAGGCCCAAAGTCTGATTATCCAAAGAGAAGATGGAAAGGAGGGAGGGAGGGCCTAAGCAGGGCCCAGATCTTTTCAACCTGTCCCTCATCATAAAGAATTGTAATTCAAGGGCTGGTCGAGTGGCTCAGTTGGTTAAGAGCTTGCTCAAAAGCGCGAGCTCTGAGCAACAGGGTCACCAGTTTGATTCCCACATGGGTCAGTTTGATTCCCACCAGGGCTGCGCCAGAGCTGAGCTGCCGCTGAGCTGCCAACAGGTGGCAGGATGGCTCAGCTGGTGAGAGCAATGTGCTCCTAAAAACAAGATTGCCTGTTCGAGATGGTGGGCTACACCCATCCGCAACTAAAAACTGAACTTGGCACCTTGAGCTGAGCCACTGCCTGGATGGTTCAGGGGATAGAGCATGCGCTCTTAACAACAAGGCTGCCGGTTTGGGCTGCCATATGAGATTGTGGCTACACCCACCAGCAACTAATTGAACACAGCACCTTGAGCTGAGTGGCGCGACTAGACTGGAGCTGAGCTTGCTGCGCCCTCCACAACTGAGATAGAAGGACAACAACTCGGCTGTTTCCCTCCCCCAATTCCCCACTGTTCTCCTCGCCCAATTCCCCAATAAAATCTTTAAAAAAACACACACAAAAAACAAAAGAACTGTAATTCAAGCATTCCCTTGACTTAATCTCCAATACAGGTGAGATGTAGTGAGCCCTCAAGAGGCCAGCTTTTGTTTATCTCCAGTTAGTCCAATGGGCTCTTGACCAGACTCACCAGAGGCATAGACGTCCCCTACAAGAGCAAAAATCATGAATTACCAGAACAGTCCTAGTAGTATCTTGGCAATACTTTTCTCACTAATCTTTTCCATTGCTTCTATGTCCCACTCGGTCCCACATGGGACTGCTGACATAGGAGGTTCACATTCCCAAGGTCTTTACAAATGCCCCTTTTGTGCTGCCCCACACTCTCAAAACTGAAAAGTCATGTCCTCTCATATTAACCATGTGGCTAACAAGCTGAAAACTACAGAATGGACTTCCAAGAGCAACAAACCATGATCGCAACAGAAACTTCCCCATTTGCCACCATACCACCTAGTGATCATTGCATAGCCCCTACTATTTTAATCAGTCTCCTTTTGCCACAGAGAAAAAAATTATCAGATTATGTCAAAAGCTCCCTTTGCATCTTGTTTCTTCTTATTCTGCTTGATTCCAGCCGCGGGAGGCATAGGATCTGGGGTAGAAACCGAGTCTCTTCTTCAGTAGCTGCAAACAGGCATCTTCTGCTGCAGCAATGGTTACACCTCCTGAGTGGGGTCCATCTACCACTAGTTCTCATGTGTCCCATTTCTCCAAAGTTATAAAGGATCAATAAGACAAATCACTGTGCCAGGACTCACATGTGGCCTCTGGAAAACACAAGCTAATCTGAAAGCCAAATGCCAACCACATGTGCCAGCTTCCAGGAGATAAAGACCTGGGGTTAAATGGATTAAAAGACTCCTGCTTAGAGCACACCTCTAAGAGATTAAGGAGCATCCAAATGTCAGGGGTCAGCTTCATCTTATCTCCATTCCTGGGGCTGTCCTGTTTTACATATTGGAGGGGTCACATGCCATAAGTATTTTTTTAAAAAAGGATCTCAGGATGTTTTTCATTTGGGAAGTAGGGAAATGGGACTACAAGAGAACTGCTTGGTCTGCTTCTAGTCCAGACATTAGGCTGGAGGGTAAATGTGAAGTCACATTGATCTTGAGATAGGCTTGTGATTTCTACATTCTGTGGGTATGGAACTGATATTGTGCATTTCTTAGAGATAGTTTTGACTGGGATGATCTTACACCCAAATGTGCCCAGGAAAGCCCCAGTTGTTCTGACTTTCTGTTTGGTTTAGCATTTATCCAGGATGTATGTTATTTTGGGGGGGGGGCAGGGGGATGAGGGTACTTCATTCTTCCATGTGTACTGTATAAACCTGTCTGGTGAGCTTGGTTGTACAAAGTGACTGAGCATATTTCTAGATGGAAGTTAGAACAGGTAAGACTGCATGACCTAACTAGCAGGTAACCATGAGGAAAATGCCTCATGAGCTGCCTATTCATTGACTCTAGGTCTAGACATAAGAGAAGAGGTAAGGATTGGAGAAGAGGCCTCATGAAGGGTCAAGCAGGGCTTTTCTGATACTCTTGATTTTTTTTGGTCCAAGGCTACACTCCTAAGTTAAAGAAAGAAGATTAAAATATGAGGGCATGTTGGCTGCAGGCTCCCACTTCTGGGAAGGAAAGCTAACGCACCTTCTCACACAGTCTACACATAAGCAGGAGTTTTCTGACATGGGTGATAGACACTGCTCTACTGGGTGCTAAGATAATGATGATAAAAGGATTTTAAACACTCACCAATTCCAGTCTTCTAATATAGTTGCTTAGGGCGTCATGTTGAGAAAACTTCTAGGTTTGGCAAGAATGAGAATCATCATTGATTTGGGATGGTGGCCATGGCTTAGGAGCAGAGAGCTTCTACACACATCTCAGTAATGTGCCATTTCTGTACTAACAAAAAGAGCTTTCAATAGGAGGAATAAAGAACTTTCAAAAGTCTTCCTTCCACATGGCATGCCCTATTGAATCTTTTTTTCCCCTTTGTGGATTGATTATGTCTGTAAGTCTAGTTGGCTAAGGAGGGCCTGGGGCTGCTCTGCCTTATAAGACTGCTCTCTCCTGCCATTAATTGTGTAAGGGTGGGTAGGGTGAGAGATTTAAGCCTATGGCATTAGATCTTTCCTTTTATGCTCTTTCCCTGGGGTATGTGCTTTCTTGGTTCTGCTCATCAGAATGATAGCTTTTAGAATGAGTTAAGATAGTTTTTCATGGAGGTCTTAGTCCATCCAGAAGCACAAAGTCAGTCCTTATAATTCAGATGCTATCTAGCCTTTCGCAGCAGGATGGGAAGTTTTGGTGCCAAAACTCTCTCCATGGTTATAAACATTTTTCCTCTGACTAGCTTTGGTCATTTGTACTTTACTCATAGAGCTAGGAGGACTGTTGTCAGACAAGGTGGGCAGCTGATCAGGGACTCATAACTTTGAGATCTCAGCAAAATATCATGCCATTTTATCACTACCAATAATACATATTTTCCTGGAGATGTAAGGATTAAATATTTTACATATTTTATTTGCAAGAGCTCATTTGCAAGAGCTACCTGAGTCTTAGGCACTTTAATGACATTTTGTCTACAAAAGACTCACTTTAGTTTTAAGAACATTTATAGGCTGAAAGTGAAGGGAAGGTATAAGATATTCAATGTAAATGAAAACCAAAAAAGAGCAAGGGCGGCTATACTCACATCAAACAAAGAAACTTTAAGTTAAAAATGGTCAAAAGAGACAAAAAAAGGTTAATATATCATGACAAAGGGGTCAATTGATCAAGAGGATGACGATTATACATGTTTATGCACCCAACATCAAAGCACCTAAATATATAAAGCAAATATTAACAGAACTGAAAAGAAA